AGACTTTACAGAAATAAAAAAGATTATAACAGGATACTTACTATGCACCATGGTTCCCCAACAAAGTGAATAACCTGGATGGACAAATTCTTGGAAACATACAAACTACCAAAACTGACTCAACAGGAAACAGCTATTAGCAAGTAAAGACATTCAGTCAGTAATCAAAAACTTCCCAACATGGAAAGGCCCAGGACCAGATGGCTTCACTGTTAAAGAATTAACATCAATTCTTCTCAAAAACCTGAAGAGGAAAGAATACTACTTAACTCATTTTATGAGGCCAGTATTACCCCAATACCAAAGCCAGACAAAGGCACTACAGGACTACAGACCAATAAATCTCTTATGAACATATATGTAAAATCCTCAATAAAAAATCAACCAAACCAAAGTCAACATTCTATTAAAAGGATCACACAACATGACCAAGTAGGATTTATCCCAAGATCCCAAGGGTGGTTCAACATACAAAAATCAATCAACATAGAGGGCACCTGGATGGCTCAGTCAGTTAAACATCTGACTCTTGATTTTAGTTCAGGTCATGACCTCACAGTTCATGGGTTTGAGTCTCGCATCGGGCTCCATGCTGATGGTGTGGAACCTGCTTGGGATTATGTCTCTCTCTGCCTCTTCCCTGCTCACTCTCTACCTCTCCTCTCTCTAAATAAATAGTTTTTTCTTTTTAATTTTAAAAAATCAGTGTAATATATCACATTAATATGATGAAGGAAAAAAACCTTCAAGACATTGTATAAATGAACCAGAGATGGCCCCTGTGTATTGAAACCTACTTTGTTCACTTCTTCACAGCAGGTGGGGATGGAGAGCTTGAGCCGGACACGGCCAAGTCCAATTTTTACACATATAATTGTTTTAAATATACTTAAACAAGCTTATCTTTAGCCATCTAGAGCCTGCCTGTTTTGCATACTGGGCAAATCTACACTCAGCATCTGCTACCGGTATGTAAGAAACCCTGGGACTATGAAGGACCACAGAGCCACTGCGCTTCAGACTTCTCTAACCTCTGCCTGCCATGCTGCTACCACATGGCCCCCAAAAAGCCGCTCAAATACACTCGCCCATGTAAAATGTGCTACTGCCACATTATGGTCATGTTTTTCCCTCAACACTCCTGAAACCCAGAACTCAATACCCCTCATCATCACAACTGACCCATGAAAAAATTTTAAAAAAGCATTTGACAACATTTGCAACCTTTCTTGATAAAACAATGAAGCATTCGATAGAGTAGGAATAGAAGGGAACTTCTTCAACACCATGAAGGGCATGGATGAGAACCTGCACTAGCATTACCCTCAATGGTGAAAGACTGACGCCTTCACCCTAAGAACAAGAACAGGTCCAGGATGCCTGCTTCTCACTTGTATTCAACGTAATACTGGAGTTCTAGGCAGAGCAGTTATGCAAGTGGAAAGAAATAAAAGGAATCCAAATTTGAAAAGAAGAAATAAAACTATCTCTATTTGCAGATAACATGATCCTATTATGTAGAAAGCCCTACATGCACACATACACACATGCAACACATGCATGCACAAACTGTTAAAGCTAATAAAACATCCAGGATGCTAAGTCAACACACAAAAACCAGTTTTTTATACACTAGGAATGAACAATCAAAAAAAGGCAACTAAGAGAACAATTCCATTTATAATAGAACCAAAAAAAGAATAAAATACTTGGGAATAAATTTAACCAAAGAGGTGAAAAAGACTTGCACAATGAAAACTACAAGCACTGCTGGAAGAAATCTAAGATGGCATAAATAAATGGAAGACAGCTTTTGTTTATGGATCAGATGACATAATATTAAGAAGATACACGTATTCAATGAAATAAAATATGAAAATCCCAATGCAATTTTGTTTCGCAGAAATGGGGGAAAAACTATTCTAAATCCATATGGTAATTCAAGGAAGCCACATGGACAAAACAATCTTGAAAAAGAACAAAATTGGAGGATTCACACATCCCAATTTCAAAGCCTACTACAAAGCTACAGTAATCAAAACAGTGTGGTACTAGCATAAGGATACACATATGGACCAATGGAACAGAATCCAGAGCCCAGAAATAAACCCTCGTATTTGACATCAATTGAGTTTTTTTTTTTTTTTTTTTTAAAAAGTTTATTTTGAGAGAGACAGAGAATCGCAAGCAGGCCTGATGCTTTCAGCACAGAGCCCAACATGGGTTCATGAGATCATGACCTGAGCCAAAACCAAGAGTTAGACATTTAACCAACTGATCAACCCAGGTGCCCCTATCATCAACTGATTTTTGACATGAATGCCAAGACTATTCAATGGGGAAAGGATGGTCTTTTTAAGAAATGGTGCTGGGAAAACTGAATATCCACACACCCAAGAATGAAGTTGGACACAGCTTACAACATTTAGACAAATTAATTCAAAATGGATCAAAGACCTAAACTTAAGACTTAAAATTATGGAAATCTTAGAAGAAAACTTTAGTGAAAATCTGCATAACCTTGGATTTGGCAATGGTTTTGTAAATATGACCCCCAAAATACCGTAAACAAAACAGTAAACTGGACTCTATTCAGTTAAAATTTGCATATCAAAGGACACTATCAAGAGAGTGAAGAGACAACTCACAGAATGGGAGAGGATATGTACAAATCACATGTCTGACAAGGGTTTAATATCCAAAGTCAATAAAGGACTCCTATATCTCAGCAAAAAGAAACAGCCCAATTTAAAAGTGGGCCTAAGGTGGCACTTGGGTAGCTCAGTCAGTTAAGCATTCGACTCTTGATTTCGGCTCAGGTCATGATCTCACAGTTCCTGAGTTTGAGCCCCACATTGGGCTATGCGCTGACAGTGTGGATCCTACTTCAGATTGTGTCTCCCTCTCTCTCTCTGCCCCTCACCTGCTTGTGCTGTTTCTCAAAAATAAACTTAAAAAAAGAAACACAAGTGGACACAAAATCTGAATAGACAGTTCTCCAAAGGAGACCTACAAATGGCCAGGAAATAGAATGTCACTAGTTATTAGGGAAACACAAATGAAATGAAACGGCTACTACCCACTGGAGTGGACTGTAACAAAAAGGAATAAAAAACCCTGGTGAGGGTGCAGAGGAATTGGAACCCCGTGCTCTGGTGGCAGGAACGTAAAATGAGCAGTTGCTGTAGACAGTTGGTTGACTCCTCAAAAAGTTAAGCACTGAATTATCACGAGCCAACTCTCCTCCTAAGCAAATACCCAAAGGAACAGAAAACAGGGACTCCGATGTTTATATACTCATGCTCACAGCAGCATTATCCACAATAGCCAAGAGATGGAAATAACTCTGTCCATTCATAGATGAATGTGATATACATTATGGAATATTATTGAGCCATAAAAAGGAATAAAGTCTGGTAAAAGCTAGAACAGGAATGAACCTAAAAAATATGCTAGGTAGGGGCACCTAGTAAGTGTCCAACTTTGGCTCAGGTCATGATCTCAGGGTTTGTGAGTTCGAGCGCCACATCAGGTTCTCTGCTGTCAGCACAGAGCCTGTTTCAGATCCTGTCCCCTTTGCTCTCTGGCCCTCCCCAGCTTGCGTGCTCTCTCTCTCTCTCTCTCAAAAATAAATACTTAAAAATATATATATACACTAGGTAAAGTCATACAGAAAAGGACAAACATTGTATGATTCCACTTATATGGTCTAGAATAGGCAAATTCAGATATAAAGTAGATTAGAGGTTACCAGGGGTGGGGGAGGGACAAGTGTGGCATTCCAGCCCAAATGGGCACAAAATTTATTTGGGATGATAAAAAAAAAAAAAAAGAAAAAAGCCCTGAAAATAAGTACCACTGAAACATATACTTGAAATTGGTTAAAATGGCTACCTACCCATATTTATACCCACACATGCACACAATTTATTTCTTAGAGCACTAGGTTACAGAAAAATGGAAAAGCAAGCACAAGTTCCCACACGCTCCCCACCCATACCTGTATCTACACCTTGCCCTGGGATACTTGTATCAGTAGTGATACATTATTAACTGAAGTCCATAGTTCATGTTATGTATATTTTACCAGAACAAAGAAAAAAGCCACAATTACAAAAACAGACGGGGATTACATCACAGGACACAGGAGCCAGGCTCAAGGAGCTCCCAATGGCTAAAGTTGAAACAATGAACCCCTAAAATAATATTGTGTAGGATTATAACTTAAAATATATGTATACTGGAGTCCACATATTGATGGTTGATATTACTTAACTGATGGCTGAATAAATGGGAGATGACACTAATTTCTGTTACAGAAGATTTCCGAATAATATGTGCAGACAGTCCCCCCTTCAGACATTGAAGCCCTTGGTCCTACTGAGGATAGGCTGAACTTCATGAAGTTTTTTTCTTTGCTTCTAAATCATACATTATGGACAGGGAAAAACAGGAACTTTACAGTGGAAAAACTTGGTAGACATCATAGTAACCAAATGGTCAAGATTAACACCATCTATGATAAATCATGTTGTACTCTGACATGTGATGACAAAAGTACTTCATTCACATCTGTGTACTTTTTCCCCCAAAACAAATAACCCTAGTCCAGTATGAGAAATACCTCAAACTCCAACTAAGGGACACTACACAACATCTGACCAGTCTTCCTCAAATCCGTGGTCACAGAAGTGTGACACACGGTCACAGCTGAGAAGAGCCTAAGGATATGTGACAGCTAAGTGCAGTTTGGCCCCTGGATAAGGTGCTGGGCAGGAAGAGGATATTAATGGAAAAATGGTGAAATCCAAATAAAGCCTGGAGTTCCGTTACCCGTAGCATACCAATGCGTGCTTCGTTATGACAAAGTCCCACGGTCACGTAAGATGAGAACGGAATCTAAGGCGTCTACGGGACCTTTCTATATGATCTCTGCAGCTTTTTCATAAACCTAAAATTAGTCTGAAAATACAAGTTTACTGAAAAAGGAAAAACAGACATAATATTCAATTTACCACTTTATTCCTCTACCTATAATTGTTTTGTAGGATCAGAAAACACCTGTTGCAAAGGTGTGCAGTCCAGTCTTTTCTGGCAGGTCCCCGTTCCTAAATGTAGAGGTGCAGTCTGGGTTCAGGTTAAGAAATGGGAAATTCTGAAGACAGGATAAGGGTGTGAGGAAACCCCAACCCCGCCCCCCAAGGCAAAATGGAACTGAAAGCTGTCTGCAGTCAACTACTGTGGTCTGACATAGAGGTCTCTAACATCATGTCACTTTCGTTCATTTCAATTTCAAAGGTTTCTTCCAAGGAAGGTCTGGGATCTGGAGTTTTCCTTGAGGTTTCCAGTGGTGCAAGCCCCGTTTCTTCTGCAGTTTGTTTTTCTACTTCAAATTCCCTGAAATCCCACGGAGGTGAAATAATGTTTTTTAGTGTCTTCATTGTATGCACATCAAAGTCATAACATTTTAATTTGTCTTTAATGTCTGCTCCTAAAAGGAAACACCACAAGGAGAATAAAATAAGAAACTCCATTATCTGTCATTTCCATCATTATGTAGCACTGCCTCTATCATTTAGTTCCAATGGTACTTTTTAATTTTTTAATGTTTATTTTTATTTTTGAAAGAGAGAGAGAGAGAGAACATGAGTAAGGGAGGGGCACAGATAAAGAGACAGAACCCAACGCAGGCTCCAGGCTCTGAGCTGTCAGCACAGAACCCAATGAGGGGCTTGAACCCACAAACCACAAGATCATGACCTGAGCCGAAGTTGGATGCTCAACCAACTGAGACTCCGGCACCCCTAAGTCCAGTGGTACTTTTATGAGCACAAGTACAGCTTAGAAGGAAAAAACATTCCAATCACTCTCCTCTTCTTTTTCTCTTTATTATCACAGGCAGTTGCTAGGAGACTGAGAAGCACATGCACTTCCAGTTCCATGTGGCAGCAGCACCTGTCCCTAAAGCCTTCACACACACAAGCGAGCCAGCAGCGGGCACTTGCCCTCACCTGTTACAAACAAAAGCCACCTGATGGCATTCTGGCATTGGTGCCATCGCAGCCTTGGGCATAAAGAAACACAGTGAAGGGAAATACACTTTCCATATATCAAAATCTTATGCATAATGGATAAGAGATTTCCAACAGATGTATTAGGTTCCATCATTTCTGACATAAAATAATTTTACACAGTTCAAACTAACAGCTTTCAGCAATAGGTGTTTTGACAGACAATGGCATGCAGGCCTTCTAAAGGAAAAATTGTACAGCACAGCGATTAGAGTTAATACCGTATTGCACATTTGAAATCTGCTAAGACAGTAGACTTTAAAAGTTCTCATCAAAAGAAAAATAATTTTTACTATGTATGGTGATGAATGTTAACTAGATTTACTGTGGTCATTTCACAATATATACAAATACTGAATTACATTGTATATCTGAAATTGATGTTACATGACAATTATATCTGAATAAGAAAAACATATAAATAGTCGGTAATGACTGATATACTTGGAAATCTCTGTAAGACCATTATCTTTGTGAGGACAGGCAAAATGTCTGTCTCGCTCAGTAACCTACCTCCAGACCTTCCCCAGCTTTATAAGAATTTTGCATTTAAGCCTCACAATTCTCCTTGAACAAAAGAGGAAACTGAGGCTCAGACTTGACCAAAGCCACAGGGCTCGGTAGCAGAACTGAGAGTTCAACCCAGGGTCTTTAGGGTGCCAAAGCTCAAGCTTTCTGTTTTAGCTTAAAAAAACAAAACAAAACAAAAAAAAAACGAGCCCGAATATACACATCGTAAAGTGTGGAGAGCTGGGCAAATTCTCACATACACATATACCCGCATCACCACCACCACACCAAAAAGAGAACACTTCCAGCTCCCAGAAAACCACCTCATGCCCTTCCCAGTGAATACCTCCCCTTTCCAAGCCAGAAGGAATCACTGCTCAAATTTTTCTACCACCACTGATCAGTTTTGCTTATGACTAATTCTCACATAAATGGTATTTATCAGTATATATTCTTTTTGTCAACATCTGGGAGATTCGCCTACGTTACAGCATGACTTCCTAGTTAGTCCTTTTAACTGTATAGTACTCTACCACATAAGCCTGCCACAATTCATTTCTCCATTCTCCTATTCGTGGATATCCAGTTACTTCTAGGTGGTGTGATTACAAACAGCCGCTGTGAACAACCCTGCGTGTGAGCGCTGGCTCACAGAGCCCTTGATCCATTGGGCACACACCTGGAGCACAACTGATGCAGCTTCTGAGCAGTACGGCAGGTCAGCACCCTAACACCCCAATGAATCACATTTCCCAGCTCCCACCCCTGATGACAATGCACTTGATCACATGACTTGTGCTGAACAGAATGTGATGGAAGTGATTTTGTGAAACTTCCAGCTTTCAAGCGGTCTTGAGGCATTAGTTCTTGTCGTTAGAACTCTGAGACCTCCATGCTACGGAGAAGCTGGAGATAAAAGACCCATGAAAGGCCCAGCGGGGTTGGCTGAGGTCCCCATCTGTGCATGAGGCCATCTTAGACCTTTAGCCCGTCAAATGCCTGCTGACTGCAGCTGCCTTAGTGAAATGAGACAGTAAATGAGCCACCGATCAACCTAGAGAGCTGAGAGAGAGAATACAACCGCGTCGGTTGAAGTAGTTTGTTAGGCAGCCACAGATAACAAATTTGACAGGTCTGTTAAACTTCAGCAGATATGTTGAACAGTTTTCCAAAGTGGCTCGTAGCCCACCAATCATCAATAATATAAAAGAGTACCAGCTGCTTCAGATCATCACCAACACTAGGCACTCCCAGTATTTTTCATTTGTAGCCATTTTGGCAGGTGTGCAGCCACATCTCGTTATGGTTTTAATTTCATTTCCCTGGTGTGCACTGATAGTACACACATTCATTTGCTTTGGTGGACAGCCTCTTTGGTGAAGCTCCTGTTCAAGTATTTTGCCCATTGTGGACCCATTTTTGATCGTACTTTTCCTAACTGATTTATAGGATTTTTTTGCATTCTAGACACAAGCTCTGACCAGTCTATAAATTGTAAGTTCTCCCAGTCTATGACATGCCTTTTTACTGTTAACAGTGTTCTGATGAACAGTAATTTGATTGAAGCCTAATTTCTTCATCCTCTTCACCTTACAATGTCTGTAACTAAATGAATGCCCAAGAATAGCAATTCTATCCAAATTTATCTTAACATTTGCTTATCATTACAAAAAATTATTTAAAAAATTACATAGAACTGTAATGTGAACGTAAGGCAACTTACTTTTCAAATGTAATGTAAAAATCAATATTAATATGCTATAAACCTCATTTTAAAGTATTAAGGCCAGAGCTTTTTCTATTTATTAGAAATTAGAAACTATTGGAAATTAAAAGTCTCTAAGATTTTTTTCCCATTATGCAATTTAGATTGTTTGTTAATATTTTTAAAAGATTTTATTTTTAAGTAATATCTACACCCAACATGGGGCTTGAACTCATCACTCCATGATCAAGAGTCACACGCTCTACCAACAGAACCCAGAGCCCCACAGTTAGATTGATTCTTCTATATCACAGCACTTTACACAAAATCCATAACAGTATTTAGCATATGCCAAGTACTCAATTATAATCTGAACAAACACTTAATGAGCCATCAATTCCCACAGCATTGTTCCAACAAATAAATGGAGTTCTTAACAATATAGGTAAATGGTTAGAAAGATAAACTTAAAATCTTACATAAGATTTGAGAAACCTAAACAGAGATATACAACATTCTAAAGAATGGGATACAATGTCAATCAGAATAATAAAATTATAATCTTACCAATGTAAGCTTCAGAATCACCAATGTACATCTCAATGCAATGACCAAGCATTGTAACAGAAAACGTATCATCTCGCCTAAGACCAAGGGCCTGCCAGAAAAGATTCACCATGGTTATTACAAGAAAATGTATTGCCTTCTCTTTCACGTAAAAATATTCCTGTAGGACTCCATTCAAAACACTACAGGGAATCGGAAGCGGGGCGGGGCTACAAGCGTAGCCATGAGTTGATGTCTGTTGCAGTTGGGTGATGGGCACACAGGGGGTCATTACATCACTCTGTTTTATGTTTGAAATTCCCCTCCTCCAAAAAGATTTTCACAACTTTGTCTACACATAGAACCTTCTAAGTCTTCTACTTACTTATATCACAGAAGAGAGGTAAATTATACAATATTCAAATACACACATTTGAACGATCACTCAAACCAGAAAAGCTGTTAGGTCACACTTCTGCCTAGCTCGTTATTATCATAATGGCATCTTCATGACTTGATCTCACCTGAAAATCTCTGACCCTATGCATTTTCTAAGATTTTACCTTTCTCTCCAGATACCATTACTTCATTGATTCTAAGACCCACATTTTTCTTTGAATTCTAACATTTCTGAACTTGGGATGCCTTAAACTACTGGTGGTTCCTTACTACTGCTGTCAGCTGGCCACAGGTGTGATGTGGGTATCCAGTGTGGGCAGCCTGGACTTGGTGGCCATGGCGATGTACAGACTAAGCTTCAAACCACATGAACGCTCAAAGATACAGGAACTGCGGCTGTTGCCTAAAATCCTTGCAATGACACTTTCTGGCTGCATAAGATTCACAGAGCCAACGTCTTTGGGAAAAACCTGAGCCAAGAGCAGGGTATATGTGCCGGCCCCAAGAACACACGGACACAGACCACCTGGTACCACAGTGATTTAAAAGAACCAAACTCTGAATGTAAAAAAACAGAATATCTTAGGTATTTATCTCACTTACACTTTCTTTTTTATGTAGATACTAGAGTCATCCCTAATAAAAATCTATGTCCTAATATGTCCAAAAGGAGTACTTCTTCTAAGTACCAAGACTGAGAGATTGGAAAGAATCATATAAAGTTTACAGGTTTATTTTTCTGTGTGTGGTGGTGGGCAGGGCACTCAACCTGCTTCTTAACGGTGTCTTAGGGATAGTGAGGCAGGACATGTGGGTTTAGGAGATTCTTTCCTTGTGATGAATACAGATTGTTTTGTTCACCAACTAAAGTGATCCAAGGGAATTAACTATAAGTCCTAAATAGACTGGAATTTCTTTTCTCCTGCCCCGACGTAATGCCCAGCTCAGACGAGGCCAACAAACCTCCTGGACACATGTTTGTCTCATTGCACACTTAAGACAAATCTCACATTTGTCTCTAATTTGGAATGTATTGTATGACACACACATGCTTTTCTCTGGAAAGGAAGGAGAAAACACAAAGTTGTCTGAAGAATTTTTAAATGGTAAATACAACACTGCCTAGAAAAGATCTTCTCAAAAAAAAAAAAAGTGGTAAATGTTAACTAGACATACTGTGTGGAAATAGTCAACAGCATTTTCAAAGTTGCCCATCAGACTATGGATATACCCTATGGCAGAATAGGTAGACGCGTTCTGAGGAATTAACACCAGTGCCTGACGGTGATAATCCAAGGCTTCGGCATACTTTCTGTGAGAGAAGAAAAGACAGGGAGTTGGGGGCAGGAAGAACGGGAAAAGAGAAAACAATTAGTGGTTACAGTGAAAGAACTGAATTTCTAGATCTAAGAAGAGAATCTGGTACATCACAGTAATGATTCAAAATGTTTATACTGCCTCTGTGTACCTCGACACCTCCCTAGATGGACCTTCCTGCCCTGCTCACCCAGCCAGTCACCCAGCCAGCTGAGGTCGCTCCCACAGGGACACAGGCGGGAGACAGGAATAGAACATAACCTCTGGCCCTGGGTCCTGTGCCCCACCACACTGCAAGGTCTCCTTTAGGGCAAGACAAACCTCCCACATCGGGCGTGATTAAAAGCAACCAAAGGTTTCTGGTTTAAGAACTTCCAAAGAAGTTACTTGAACAGCATTTTCAAAGTTCTCTGCAATTCCTGCCCTGTAAAAATCTTTTGTGAGAAAAAGGTTCAATAAGGTTTGGGAAACACTATAGCTCATGATGAATAGTAAAGGTACCCACATATCCTGAAATAGAAAAACCTATTAAATTTTGAGTAACCTAGAGTTTGCCAAACATATTGAACTAAAGAATCTATTTTTCCAATGCTGTCTGTTTATCACATCATAAAACTGGTACCTTGAGAAAAACAATATGGTTTTAGCTAAACCCTGCTGTTCTAATTCTTCCAAACTAATTTTGAATACTCATTTTTTTAATCTAAGAAAATGACAGTTATTATAATTCTCTGTATTTCTTTTTTTGAGATATTTTAACTTTTTTCTTAGTTTATTGTCAAGTTGGTCTAACCCAGTGCTCATCCCAACAAGTGCCCTCCTCCGTGCCCATCACCCTAATTCTTTATACTTCTAAAATAAAATTATACCACCTGAGATAATAAAAATAAAGAGATAACAAAATCCACTAGAGATAATTATTTTGATGCCTGTTGTATCTGAGCAGCAAAGTACAAAGCTGGAAGATTTCAAAATAAAAATATGGAAAAAGAAGGGTGCCTGGCTGGCTCAGTTGGTAGAGCATGCAACTCCTGATCTAAGGGTTGTGAGTTCAAGCCTTATGTTGGGTGTAGAGATTACTTAAAAATAAAAAATCTTAAAAAACAAAAACAAAAACATGGAGAAACCTACACAAAATTAAGTAAACTTTTAGTCACAAAGAATATTTCTGATCTGAAAACAACCGAGTTCACTTACTTAAGCTTCCTGCAGACGTGCCCCAAGTTATTCAACAAAGGCTCCCATTTGTCAACTGTTACCTGAAATACAGCAACATGGAACCCGTGAGTCATGTGCCACTTTCCAGCCGAGCCCACACCGCTGCACATGGCGACGCAGGCTGCCCTGTCTCTTGTACTTGTGGACTCTCCATCTTTCTTTCCTATTGGGAGAGACTTCCTGAGGATGCTGGTATTTTATTAGCACAACATTGTTAATGAGCCCCTCTATGCTGAAGTTCAAATTCTGTATCTTGAGCCCAAAATTCTCCATCTGTCTACTAAATATTCCCTCTTAGAAACCTCACAAGCACTGCAATTCCAGCATGCCACCCGCCCGACTCTTATCTTCTCTCCTGCCACCCCAGCTCCCCTACCTCATGACCTTCTAAGCGCCTGCCTCTTATGCCTGGCACCCAGGTCATCCCTGACCCCCTAGCAGCTACCAAAGGCTTATTCATCGGCCACCCCAGCATTACGCCAACCTCCATGTAACGAGTCTCGTCTGGGCCCAACCACCTCAGGGTAAGGTACAAGGCCCTTGACGATCCACACTCAACCTTCCTGACCCATTTCTTGACATTCTCGATTAACTCCAACTTGGCACACACCATTCTCTCTACCTAATATACTCTTTTCCTCACTTTTGCTTGGCTGATGTCTACTCATCAGGACAGAAATGTAAGATAACTGTATCCAAGAGGTCTTCTCAGCCCATCCTCAAGTCCGGGTTAACTGCTCTCCTGCTTGGGTTCCTTTATTTCCTCAAACACGGCCCTTTTTGTGCACTGTATCATTACTGCCGATTTACTTATCTGCAATCCCCAACAGGTCTAAGGCCAGGATCTATCATGTCAGTTTCCCATTTCCTCCCAACACCCAGCTCACAGCTTAGGACACAGTCAAGACACGTAGGTCAGTCTGAGCTAACCATGCAACAGATCTGAGCCACAGTCTCCAGCTCCTATGAGCCTGACTCCAGGAGGCACAGCCCATGAGAATGAAAACAAGTCCTTCATGATTCTTAGGCACATGGCTTCCCTATGGCAGTTTTGACATTTGCTGCAGTTTACAACTGAAGGCAAACAATATTTCCCCATCTTCACATAACTTTTAATAGTATTGGGCATTTGTATTTAAAGCCATTACTGTAAATTTCTGCAAGGCTCCACAGTGCCCTCCAATCATCAACAAATACAGTTTTAACTCGAAGTGTGGTCTGTGACAGTGTACCTCAAGCTTCTCTGAGCATGAGAATCATCCTGGATGTTGCTAAAACTGCAGATGTGATTCAATAGATCTGGGATCCTATACTTCTAGTGAGCTTCCAGGTGATGCTGATGCAGCTGGTCCAGTTAGAGCAGCAAGATCCTAAGGTATTCTACTCTGAAAACCAGCAAAGTGGTATGTGGCAACCTCCAAATAAACAGAAACACATTTATCATCCAGGCCGCCCAAGACTGAGCTCATCAAGAAACTGTTTTTATAGGGGCGCCTGGTTGCCCAGTTGGTTGAGCATCCAACTTAGGCTCATGGTTCGTGTGTTAGAGCCCCATATTGGGTTCTCTGCTGTCAGTGCAAAGCCCGCTTTGGATCCTCTGTCTCCCTCTCTCTGCCCCTCCCCAGCTCACTCGCTCTCTCAAAAATAAACAAACAAAAATGAACCTGTTTTATATAGAAACATGTGTCAACACAGAAATATAGTGTTTTTAAGTTCATAGGTATGACAAATAAGAGGCCTGGCAGGGAACCCAAGGAAGCTGTGTCTGTGTCAGTGAAGAGGAACAAACGCCAAGGAAGATGTGGGTCACAAGCAAGGCTGCCCAAGTAGGAACAGAGTGAAAATGGGAAGTGACAATCAGAATGGAACAAAACAAAATAGATGTGAATTTAAAAGAATCAAGAATGGGGCGCCTGGGTGGCTTAGTCAGTTAAGCGTCCGACTTTCGCTTAGGTCATGATCTCGCGGTTCGTGGGTTCGAGCCCCGCGTCGGGCTCTGTGCTGTCTGCCAGCTCGGAGCCTGGACCCTATTTCAGAGTCTGTATCTCCCTCTCTCTCTGACCCTCCCCTGCTCACGCTGTCTCTCTCTCTCTCTCCTAGAAATAAGTAAAAATATAAAAAAAAAATAAAAATAAAAATAAAAGAATCAAGAACTAGAAGAGTAGCAATATACAAATCCCTTACTTACAGAAGTTGACAATATTTAAAATTATTATTATTTTAAAATAATACCCATGAGTACACATCCAAGCTAGCTGGCAGGTTAATTCACAAGCACAGGTCTTTCATATGGTAGAACCTAGCTAAGTATTTCACACCTTGAGAGGTCTAAATATGTAGTAAGTACAAGGTCAGGAAGAGCCATGATAGGTCTGAATAAAATGACACCTGACCTTATTCCTACAGAGGGGGGCACTGTATATTTACCCATTAATCCATGAGGAGGCTCTTCAGTTCTAGAGAAGAACATCTTATGTGAGATGCTAACAGTGCCCACTAGTATCCACTAACTGTCACATATTCCCCATATCAAAAAATCATCAAATATATTCCACATATCAAAGCCTCCTAGGAAGCAAACAGTTGACATCTACCTTCTCAACTAGAAACAAATTCATTTTTATAACTATGCAGCAAAATAAGTGCCTGAAATTCAAACATTAACAAGCCATTTGCCATGATAAGTATTAGCCCGTTATCTTCTAGGCAAGACACTGTCCATATTATTATTTTCATTCAATAGCAAACACAAGAGAGACAGATATTACACAAGATACCTCATTCCCAATTGCTTTAATTTTTTCCAAAGCATCAAGAAACCATTTTTCAGCTGTTTTCCATCTAAAATAGAAGGAAAAAGATTGCAGATTATTCAAAATTACCAAGTACGAACATTTTAAGAAAAATGAGGTAAACTTCTATAAATCGTTTATTAAAATTCAATTTTAAAGGTCAGAAAAATGAATTCTATAGCATTAACATTATAGGAGTTCAAGATTTTAGGATATAGTTAATTCTCATTATTCTTGGTAAGTATATTCTATAAAGTCACTGTGAACACTGTTTTAGCAAATACTGAGCCACTGCTCCTGGCAAAAATACAAGATCAGATTCCTCCAAACTCTGGTCAACCATTCAACATATAATCTATTTTCTATGTGCTTCTGTTGATCGATACCTTAGTTAACATAAGCTGATTTACTGACACTGAACTCACGGCCAGCAACAGAGTTCATCTAACAGGCTCATCACAGCCTTCTGGTGTTTAGGGTCACTAACAGCACGTCAGCACCAGGCCTTAGGATCATTTCAAACAGTGAAATCACCAACGAAAAGTATAAAAATGTGAAAAATGTGGTACTGAAAAAAAACTCACAAACTCAGTTACAGTCTGAGAGCAGAAACAGGAAGGCAGAACATCATCTCTGACCTCTGCTGGGAACGTGCACCCAAGTGTGAAAGTACTGTAGGCGTAGGCGCCTGGTTACAAACTAATGGCCTATATTACATCATTTTACAACAGCTCCAGACTTGCTTTTATAAATACTAGATAATCCTATTCTTAGAATATACACACAATGCCATAAAAAACACAGTAGTACTAATTTACTCTTTTTAAATTTATGTATAATTTAGTGCAAAGGACTACAGATTTTTCTCTTTAGAGTATGATACTGAATTATTCTACAAATATCCAATGTTACACTAACACCTCAAATGACCAGGAATTTGGGCCATTATAATTAGTTGAATTTTTGGATTAATTTTTGGCAACTACAGAAACAGCATCTCTGTTCCAGAGCTGCAGGCAATCTTTCTCCAATGTGTGACTCCAACTCCTAACCAACAGGGAGCGGACTAAGGTTGTGCAAGGCCTCCAGGCCACCCTATGGTGTTTGCTCACTGGTCAGTCAGCGACAACTGTCCAGTCTCGGAACTGAGTCTGCGGGAGCCCACGTGCAAGGGAACCAAAACCCCAGTTCAGTATTTTTAAAGAATTCCAACATAATACTTTCTATTTTTTTTTTTTTAAATGTCTGCCTCCTTCTCCTAAAATGGTACACATTTAAAGACAAAAATCTACTGAAGAGTCACTCATCACTTAAACTCTAGTGACTGGTTTTACTTCATTTACAGAAAGAAAACAGGATTTTGGGACTTGCAGCACTTACTCGCCATTCTGAAATGCGACCACACCAACCTCGTGCATAACAAAAGGGTCTTCCGGTGCAATGCTTAGCGCTTGGCCAAAGAATCTTTCAGCCAATTTTGAGTTATTAGTCAATCCGTATTCTAATCCAATGTAGAGCATTGGCAAATGACACCTAAAAATATTGGAGAATTTCACATATTCAACACCTAAAACTTTGTCATTCAGCAGAAATTACCTTACCAATTTCAAACCCTGTCTGCAAAATAACTTAAACGTAGCCAAAAACAATGTGATTACTTTTTTTCTAACACTTCATTTACTAATACATAATACATGTCTAATAGGTTTTCAATCCTATTAGAATCTATCACTTTCAGACCTCTTCTAGAATCTCAGCAAGCTGCTGACTTATCTTTATTTTTCATCATCCTACAGTAAAAACAATACAAAACAAAACCCTCCTGAGCAGAAGGGCAGGTCTGTGCTCCTGTCTTCTTTCAGGATGCTAATGTCATACCCTTGGCCTTGACTGTCTTCCCCTCCTCTACTGATTCAGCACCATTTATCCTCTGTGACCTGTTCAAGTGCCCCTTCCCTGCGGGAAATGCTTCTGACTTTCTAAGCTAAATGGCTCTCCCTTGTGTTGATTCCTCTCATCTCAATTACTATCAGTTCTATCCCCAAGGAGTTCAAAAGTCTGTCATGTATACCCCATTTTCACATCCTCTGAAACAGTTCTAGCTACAGAGCAAATACTAACCACTTCTTTTTTTTTTTTTTTTTTAAATATTTTTATTTATTTATTTTATCTCTCTAGGATAGAGAGAGACAGCGTGAACAGGGGAGGGTCAGAGAGAGGGAGATACAGACTCTGAAACAGGCTCCAGGCTCTGAGCTGGCAGTCAGCACAGAGCCGGACGCGGGGCTCGAACCCACAAACCGCGAGATCATGACCTAAGCGAAAGTCGGACGCTTAACCGACTAAGCCACCCAGGCGCCCCACTAACCACTTCTTAACTGAATCTCTTGCCAGACTGGTAATTACATTAAAACAAACAGAATAAAATAATATTTTTTTTGAAGATGGATCTAAGAAAGTCTACAAATACTAACCAACTATTTGGTAGGTGCTTTGGTTTTAATCAAGAATCAGCTCAGGTGAAGAGGATTTACCTGGAGAAAGAACTTCCAAAATGGCCAAGTAAGGACCTCCAAAACTCTACACCATAGAAGCAATATCAACACTGCCTAATTGTCAAAATAAACTTTTCCGAACTTCGGAAGTTAACTAAAGGCTTACAACAATCTGAGGGGTGTTTACTCTAGAAAAACTGAAACATGCAAAGACCCAGGAAACAATCGGCAATCCAGGGGAGTAGGGTGGAAAGCAGGCAACAGAAAGCTGGGACAAACAACAGATGCTGGATGTAATAGACAAACATTTTATTATTTATTTATTTTTTAGACAAACACTTTAAATAAGCGATTTTAAATATGTAGAGGGGCGCCTGAGAGGCTTGTTGAGCATCTGACTCTTGATTTAGGCTCAGGTCATGATCTGATGGTTTGTGAGATGGAGTCCCACATCGAGGTCTGTGCTGACAGGCAGACTCTGCTTGGGGTTCTCTCTCCCTCTCTCTGCCTTTCCCTCACTCACATGTGTGAGTGCATGCACTCTCTCTTTCTCAAAATAAATAAACATTAAAAAAATACAGTATGAAAGCAAAAACAAATATAAAATCTCAAGTTGAAAAGTAAAATAATGAAAAAAAAATTTCAGTAGAAGGCTCAACAGCAGTTTGAACAGGCAGAAGAATCAGTTAACTTGGAGTTAGGTCAATTGAGATTGCCCAGTCTAAGAAACATCAAGATAAAGGAGTAAAGAAAAATGAACAGAGCTTCAGAGACCTGTGGATGCCACCACACAAACCAAAATACACACAATGACAGCCCCAGAAGGCAAAGGGAGACAGTAAATGGCAGAAAGAATATTTGAAACTAAAGACTATTCGGGCCAAAACACCTCAACGTTCAAAACAAACAACAAACAAACAAATAAACAAACTCCAAACAGGATACTCAGAGACCCACACTCAGACAAATCATAGTCAGACTGCTAACTTTTAAGCAGGAAGAAACTACAACTAGTAACGTACAAGAGATTCCCAGTAAGATTAACACCTGACTTATAATCAAATACCTGGAGACCAGGGAAGGCATATCAAGGACATTCAAGGTGCTAAAAGAAACAGAGCGCCAACCAAGAAATTTATGTCCAACAAAACTATCCTTGAAAATAAGGGTGAAATTAAAACTTTCTCAGAGAAACAAAAAATTGAGAAATATTGTTGCAGACAAGAGACAGTGAAGAATGCCCCTCAGGCTGAAACAAAAAGACACTAGACAGTAACTCAAATACCACATTAAAAAAAAGGAATTTAGGGACACCTGGGTGGCTCAGCTGGTTGAGTGTGGGACTTTGACTCAGGTCATGATCTCGCAGTTTGTGTGTGGGTTTGAGCCCCGCGTCAGGCTCTGTGCTCACAGCTCAGAGCCTGGAGCCTGCTTCAGATTTTGTGTTTCCCTGTTTCTCTGCCCCTTCCTGACCTGTACTCTGTCTCTGTCTCTCTCTCTCAAAAATAAACAAACATTAAAAAATTTTTTTAAATAATTTAATAAAAGTAACCACATAGGTAAACATAAGACAGTACAAATATAATTTGTTAGTAATTCTTTTCTTCTACCTGATTTAACAGATAACTGAGTAATATAACAATTATAAATTTGTGTTGGGGGCTTACGATGTGTAACATGTAATCTGTATAATAGCACAAAGGAGGTAGAAAGGAACAGAGCTGCAGAAGAATGAAGTTTTTAAATACAACTGGAATTAGGTTGGAGTGGTAAATAAGAAATGTATTTGGTCTTCCTCTTGCACCTAAAAACCCTTGCAGTTTTGTTAGTGACAGGAGTCTCTTTGTTATTCACAATGACCCCTTTTGATCACACCTGAGTTTATTATACTAACGAAGGTGACCCAGGGTAATGCCTTAAAACAGCCTTATAGGGGGCTGGTCACTAGAAGGACCAAGTGAGAAAGGGTGGGGGGACACAAAAGTTCCAACTGACTTCCAAGGAAGGGAAAGGCTGGAGATTGAGCTCCATAAAACTTCAGAACAAAGAGATTCTGAGCTTCTGGGTTGGTGAACACAGTGCAGTGCTGGAGTGTGGCTCACCTGGAAAGGGTGTGAACCCCTTCTATCTGGGTATTCCAGAATACCACCTTTATAAAAAGCCAGAAGAATTAAGTAAAATGCCTTCCTGAGTTCTGTGGGTTATTCTAGCAAATCATCAAATCTCAGGAGAGGGTCATGGGAACCCCTGATTTATAGCCAGTCAGAAGTGAGAGTGGTCTGGGACTTACCACTGGCATCTGAAGTGGGGAGGGGCAGTCTTGTGGGACTGACTGCTTAACCCGTGAAGGGTCTGTACTAAGTCCAGGTACTGTCAGAACTGAACTGGCTTGTAGGAACCAGCTAGTGTACAGATAATCAGAGAACTGGTTGTTGGTGCTGGAAAGCACCCTACAAACTAGATTGTTTTAAGATGTTAATTGATCCCCAAGATAACCACTAGAAAACCAAACCAAAACAAAACGCTCAAAAAATATACTATAAGGAATATTTACATTAAATATATAAGGAATTTAATATTAGTATATTAATATTAATATATTAAATGTTTCAAAATATGTAACAAAATATGTAACAAAAAAGAAGGCAGTAACAAGGAAGAAAAAAGAAAACATAAAAACAGAGTAAATGGTAAACACATTATCAGTAATTACATAACATAATAACACATAAAATTCCATCAGAAAGTAAGAAATTGGCAGAACGAATGTAACAATGATCCAACTACATATTGTCTATAAGAGACCTACTTTACATTTGAAGACACAAGTTAAAAGATGGAACAAGACAGACCATGCAAACAGTAACATGAGAGAGCTGGTGTGATTATACTAATATCACACAAAATAGACTTAAGACAAAATCTGTTACCAGAGACAACGAAGGACCTCCTATAATAGTAAAAGGCTCAGTCCATTGAAAACCTAACGGAAACCCAAAATACATGTAGCAAAATCTGCCAGAATTGGAGGAAAAAGAGAAAATTCAACAATAATAGTTGTGGGGGTTCAACACCTCACCTGCCATAATGGATAAAATAACTGGGCAGAAGATAAACAAGGAAACAAAAGACAAGACCAACACTAGAATCCAATGAGACCCAAAGAATTACAGTACAACACTGTACCCTAAAAGAGCAGATCCTCAAGTGCACCTGGAACATTCTATAATAGACCATGTGATGTCATAAAATAAGCCTCAATAAATTTTAAAGGACTGAGATATATAAAATATGCTCTCCAACCACAATGGAATTCAATTAGAAATCCTAACAGAAAGAAATTTGGGAAATTCAAATAAGTGGGAATTAAACAACACACTCTTACATAACCAGTGGCTCTAAGAAGAAATCATAAATGAAAACTTAAAGTATTTATACAATTTCAAACATTTATCCAAACACAGGGAAATCAAGAGAATGTAGTTGTTCTCATGGGGAAGAATTGAAAAGAATGTTTCTCTTGATGAGCCGATTTGAAAATTTAGTTGAATATAGTTGGTTACATTGAGCAATTTTGTCACTGGTTTTGATCTTAGGTAGAAACTAACAAACAAATAATAACTATTCTGGGTTTGTGAGCACCCAGAAAAAAATAAATAAATAAAAAAGCACACTCTAGCCTGGGTTCATAAGAAACAACCCACGGTAATTTATGGAGACCTTTTCTTTTCTGCCAATTGACCAGACTGATAGATTAGTGGTCTTGGTAGACACAGGAGCCAAGTTTCAGCAAAGCACTGGAAAAGAAAGGTCTCACACATATCAGTGAATTAGGTGAAGAGTCACAGACTGGGTACTGAGGCCCATTTGGGTGGATCAGTAACTGCTGGAACAATTAACCTGGTGGCCTATTTCTAATAAAACACTGGTATTAGGCCTGAATTATATGTTACCACCCTGACCAAATGCATATGTAAAGCCCTATCCCAATGTGACTACACTTGGGAGGCCTGTGAAGAAACAGAAAAGGTAAATCAAACTGAACAACATGACGTTCAATACAGATACATATATGATCCCACTCCTGAATACTACAAGCAAACAAATTAATGTAGGTAACTTCTACTGAGTGCTTTAAGCATGTCAGACCTTGTTCCAAGTCTTTAATTGGTATTGTCTCAATTATTCCCAGGAATAAGTGCTACAATTACACCAATTTTTCAACAGGGTACATACTTGGCTAAGATCACCAGGATCACCAAAAGTCTGACTCCAGACCAGCCCTCTGAACAACTGCACTCCCACTACCTCTCCGGAGATGGACACAGCTCACACAAAAGAACACTGTGAGGTAGGGCCAGGGCAAAGGTTAGGCAAGTCCAAAGCAAGTTGACAGGAGAGCTGACTCCCCTCCCCAAAGTAAGATACTATTAGGGTGCACTTACATCACTTAATATCAACCGTTTTAATATGGATATAAATCTAAAATGCTGGATGGGTACCTGGGTGGCTCAGTTGGTTAAGTGTCTGACTCCTGATTTAGGCTCAGGTCAAGATCTCATAGTCATAAGATGGAGCCCTGCATCAACTTCCGCACTCACAGCGCAGAGCCTGCTTGGGATTCTCTTTCTGCCCCTCCCTCCCTGGATCATGCACACATGTGTGCACACTCTCTCTCTCTCTCTCTCTCTCTCAAAAAAATAAATAAATAATAAGTAAATAAAATCAAGAACACTGTCAAATACAGTCCACAAGGCCTACATCAAATACCTTTTGGACATACATAGGATACAAATAACAATATTTGCTCACAAATACTTTCATACCTGCATGAGAGGGAGCTTCTAACCCTCCTGTCTTCCCTCAGCTCAATTTCCTAGTTCCCTTCTGTACTGGTGAAAGTGAACTGCTAGGCCAAAATCACTACACCAGCCTCTTTTCCTCAATGTTCATAGTTATTTTACAATCATAAGTTACTAAGCCACCGAAAAGATACAAGTAAGATATTTTTGTTTAGTTCAGTGACCAAATGGCAACAGGAGTAATAACGGAATAATGGAATCGTCATTCTGTCAGCAAGAGCAACCCTTCGTGGATCTCACCACGCGCTCTACCATACCCTTTCATGAGCTGTGCCGCGGTGAAGTAAGCAGCCATGGCCTGGTCATGCTCACTCTCCACAGCAAACGAGTGTCCATACGCTACCCACGCAGGCCCGTAAGTCTTCTCAAGTGTTGTTGCTTTGCTGAAACAAGAGATACTCATTCTTGTTAATTTTACATAAACTGATGGATTCAAGGATATTATAATAAAATAAATACATGACCTCTTAACATTTAGATACTTAACAATTGTTGTTAATCTCATTTGAAATAAAAGAATGCTTAATAGTACAAGCAAAATTTTAAGACATTTTAAGAGAGGCCCACAACTTATCAGGTCCAACAGCTGAACCCACTGGCACTCTGCATTTACAAATACAAATACACTCTGCATTTACAAACAGTATTTAATCCCGGAGCTTTGCCTCACTAATTGTGGTAGCAACAACCGTTTAATGAGGGCATATTTTATGTCAGGCATCATGTGAGATGCTTTATATGTATCACCTAGTAACTTGCAAGATAAAATCATTGTTTGCATTTTAAACATCAGGATCCTGAGGCTGGGAAGATTAAGTGACACCCTACGGACGGTGGCAGGAGCACCCTGGTTCTGCGGACTGCACTACACAGTCTTCAGCCGTCATAAGCAGTCTTCAATCAGCAGACACCGGTGACCCACAACAAGGAATAAAGAGAACATACCACAAAACAAGGAAAATATAAAGGATGAGATTCCCATTTCCCAGCATTTTATTTTCTAAGTTTTCTATCACTCAAATGTTCCTTGATTCACGTGGGGTCCATCACTAAACAGAGAAGCACAGTTCAGAGGAACTATCACAACTGAAGTATCTGCCTGCTCTTGGAAAAAGCACAAGCAAGCTCTTCTAAAATGCCGAGCACTCAGCTGACCAGAGAGCTCCCTGTTTCTATCCTAGTGCAGGATCCCCAGGTGTCGTCCTACCAATTTTCCTAACAATCCTGGGATACGAGTATCATATCACTCCCATTTTTAAAGAAGAGAGGGTCAGAGATATTAACTTGCCCAAGGAATTATAGCTAGCAAGTGGCAGGACTTGCATTAGAATTCAAATCTATGTCCAAAGTTTATACACTTTCTCTTAGATCCACTTTCTGTTTTGTTCACGTGGATGAAAAAAAATCACACTTTTAGTATTTTAAATCTCTAGTAATTAATTCTTCACATACTAGACATTTTTCTGTACTTGAATAATTGAATAAAGTAGCTTTATCAGGCTCTGATTGGGCTGTACACAGAAACTTATATAAACCAGTTTACTATCATAAGAATTCTGTTTTACAGTCACATTTAGTGATCCTAATCTCATGCAGTTTCATATAACTTCACAAGTATTAACAAAAGAAGTCCCAAAAGTAAAAGGTGAATAGTATCTCTGTAAATGAAAAACAGGACCTTTCAAATTACTTTCTATTATTATTTCATATTTCTTCTCACTTATAAATAATTTACACATATCATAATTTCCTTGAGAACAAGGTCTACACCACAGACTTTTATCTCCCCTCATGACATCTCATAAAAAGTATGTAACTGGGACGCCTGGGTAGCTGTCAGTTAAGCAGTTGACTCTTGATTTGGACTCGGGTTATGATCTCATGGCTTGTGAATTCGAGCCCCGCGTCAGGCTCTGTGCTGTCAGCACACTCTGACACTTGGGATTCTCTCATTTTTTATTGGTCACTTCCCTGCTCTCATGTGTGCATTCTCTCTCACTCTAAGATAAATAAACATTAAAAAAAAAAAAAAGGTACCTAATTGATGCAACTGAACTGAATCTGAAAACAATTCTTTATTCTTTCATACTGCTTTTAAAGTACTTGATTATTGTATTAAAATGGATGAACAAGAAATCCCTTCCTGTAGGCTCATTACAGAGGGAAACAGACCACAGATGCATACCTGAGGTATCTTCTGGCATGTTCATTTTTATGACCAACCATGAGATAATAGCATCCCACTGCAAACCAAGACACCTAAAAAGTTCAAAATTTACTGTCACCAAAGATGCTTAACTTGGAACTGGAAATCTCTAACATACTAGGCCAAAGGGTGGACTAGACGTTCCTTTACATGTTCTAGTTCAAGTTATTCTAGTTCAAGTTGGAAACTTCTCTGAGACAGGTTGTCTACGAGGGGTCCTAACTGAAAAAAGAACAGATTCGTCTGCAAGGTGCCTTCAATGATGTCCCTGCGACATTCGATACAAGATGAGGTTCCCTCACACCTAGTACAAACACCAGCCTGAGTCGTGTCCTCTCTGGCTTGACCCAGGTTCTTAGCACTGAGGAGGCTCGACCTCAGTAGCAAACTTCTCTTGCACTGGTTCTGCCTCTTTCTAAATTATTTTCACTCTGGCCAAGGGCAGAGATTCTTGGGTGAGGCTTAGGCTTTGATCCCTGACTTCTGTCTCTAGGGACACAGTTCCTGATTCAGTTTTAATTTCTGGGTCCGGTCCCAGTTGTGTTCCAAGGCAGCCTGGGAGACCCAGTGACCCAACCAATGCACAATTCAGTAAGTTATCCTGTACGGGCAACGTGAGAAAGCCACCAAGTAATTATCAGCATCACCTATAAGAGGGGAGAGTATGACTTTCACTTTCAACATACTATTTTTTCTGTTATGTCAAGTATATTAAAATAAGCATATATTATTTCTATAAACAGAAAAAAAGGATTTGTGTTTTAAACTATTATTTTAAGATGCTTAAAAAAAATACTTTCATGGACTGAAGAGTTAATACTACTTCTATTTACTATAGCACTAGGAGGTCCTCCTATAACACCTTAAACTAAACATCACTTACTTGAACTTAAATATAAGTTACTACCTAAACACCAGTTAGGTATTTTTTTAAAGTTCAGGTAAGAAAAAAATACCATAAGACAAAAGGGTTTACATTTACTTACGGGATTACTAGGATACAGATCCACCAATTTATGAGAAAGATAGAAAAGTTCTACATTAGAGGAAAAGAAAAAAAAGAATTATATCCAGTCACTTTTAAGGTATGACTTTCCTCTAGTTACAACTCTTCACAATCATACAAATTTATTCTCACAGTAACGATTTCATAGCTTTCTATTACCTAATAAAATATACAACTACTCAACTACTATATTGTTTCATTCACAGCCCCCCCACCAGCCCCTTACCCCGTAAGTGGACAATGAGTGCTTCTTGAGTGACTGGAAAACCAGATGAGTCTCTCGTGATAAAGCATGTCATGGTGCTTAAGAAGTAATTTCAAAGCTCTTCACTTATCTTAATAACTGAGATCTCTGATTCTGTGCCCTTATTATGGACCATCTTAACCACCCACAACCAATTTGAGTGACGAGACTTTCAAGATCAGCAAGATTTCTTCTTGAGTAATATGTAAGTCCTAACACATCATGATGAAGTTTCCTACGTATAGACTTGGATTCATTAGACCAGGACAGCTGGAGTGGCTGCATTTCCAACAAGCTTCTAGGAGACAGGATGCTGCTGGTCCACAGACCACACTTTGAACAGCAAGGGTTTGGAATTGGGAGTGTTTGGCTTTTTAAACTCCTGACAGAGCTCACTCTTCAGTTTAAAAGATTTAAGGGCAAATACCATCCAAACTTAACTAAATTGTTCCTAAAATGTTAAGATATAGGAAGCACAAGCAAAAAATCTGCCCCCTTCCAGTTTCTAAACAGTTACTGCCTATTGTCTATTAGTTTTCTTAGGATTTTACAAAAAAAAAAGAGAAAAACTACCCACCAATATTCTAAAGCTTATATAAGTTAAACCACAAACTACATTTGAGAAAAGGAAGCAAGGATAAACAAACACTGTTCTGTTAGGGTAACAGAATTGACCCTCAGTCACTTTGATATGCTTTTCTTAAACTAGCTGTTACTTTTGTTGGAGAACTCAATTATGTTGTCAATTATCCAGGATTTGTGAGACAAAATTTCAAGAGTTACAGAAAACTTTTTTTGTCCTAACAATTATTATTTTAATTTTTAAAAATTTACCATTTGCTTTATTCAGCTCCACAAGTGTCCCTATATGTACAGGTAAACAGTTTGCATGGAAAGGATCTTTCTCCATTACTCTGAAAGTCAAAGCAACACATTTACTATGCCAGAAGCAATACAGAACAGAACATAACACATTAAAATTAGCTATGTTACACAGTCATTACACCATTATGAAAAATACTGTGGGTTAAATACTTTTTTTACTTTCTTCACCCATTATCTTCAGGTTGGCTCAGTTAAGGTAATGATTATCTTATAAATGAAAGGGAAATTTCTGGTTTATTTAGAAGGAATAAAAATAAACACTATCACACATACTTAATTTAAATCAAGAGAATTATAAAATAAGCAGTCTATTAAGAAGGATTAAAAACAATTTGAAATATTAAACAGATCGTAAGTATTTGTCATTTAATATTTTTGTGAATTCAAGGATGTTAAGCAATCCCCAAGATCTGTTAAAAACAGCATATCTGGGGCGCCCAGGTGGCTTAGTCGGTTAAGCGTCCGACTTTCGCTCAGGTCATGATCTTGCGGTTCGTGGGTTCGAGCCCTGTGTCGGGCTCTGTGCTGACTGCCAGCTCAGAGCCTGGAGGCTGTTTCAGAGTCTGTCACTCCCTCTCTCTCTGACCCTCCCCTGCTCACGCTCTCTCTCTCTCCTAGAAATAAATAAAACATTAAAAAAAAAAAAAAACCCAGCATATCTGATTTAGCTAAAAGACACGTGTGAATCATATGCACTGGAAAACTGGTATGGTAGCAGGGGTGGGGGATGGGGGGAGATGGTTTAGCTACTTAGTAAGACTGATTGAGCACCCAGCAGCTACAGGATTTGAAGAGTCCCTATTTTAACAAAGAAAGGACTTTATGAGACTATGTGCCAGAATGAGATTTTCAAATTTGCAAATTGTAAAACACTGAGATGAGGGACATGTCTATTCCCAAGGTAATGGAATAAACCTGCAAATGTCCATAAACCTGTGTCCGGAAATTGCTTTTTTAAGACAATAGTAACCCCCCCTAGTAAACTGTGCAAACGGTTAAGGCTACTTTAATTATCACGTTAGTTCAAACTTATTCAGAAGGCAGTCCTGCACACTTATTAGGGAAAATGGGAATGGATTCTATGCTCCTACACAGAAATGAATGGATATACTTACACAGAAGTAAGCTTGTAGCACATTTTAAAGTCACAGTTATAATAATGTCTTTCAGCCAAAGACACTACCACATCCAGATTCTCTTGCAGACCATCAACAGACTCGGGAAGGACAGTTTCACTGGGTTTATTATACTGCAACAGAGAAAGATAAACATGAACCCAAAGTGCAGCACAAATCAAATGGCAGACTCGATCTGGCCCAAGGGCTCAAGGGTTTACACAGGGCAGGTGTGAGCCTCTGGGGATCTAACTTCCTATCTTATCAGCCCTCATCTCAATTAGCTGCATTCTCTTCTCAATTTTATCACAGAATTCCAGGGTAGGAAGTATTTTACAAATTAGAAGTTCAGGAAGCATAAGAAACAAATCCTCATTTTCAGACACAATCCCATTTATGTGATAGTTCAATCTTTTAGCATAAGGAATCCCTAGAAGAAAGACATGCTTCTGGAAGCTTTTTTTAAGGAATCATATCATATATTTCAAGTAATCTAAATCTATTCTTACAAACGTGCTAATAAAAATTAACTTTTAAAAATTACGGGGCGCCTGGGTGGCTTAGTCGGTTAAGCGTCCGACTTTCGCTTAGGTCATGATCTCGCGGTTTGTGGGTTCGAGCCCCGCGTCGGGCTCTGTGCTGACTGCCAGCTCAGAGCCTGGAGCCTGTTTCAGTCTGTGACTCCCTCTCTCTCTGACCCTCCCCTGCTCACGCTGTCTCTCTCTCTCTCCTAGAAATAAATAAAACATTAAAAAAAATTAAAAAAAAAAAAATTAAAAAAAAAAAATTTAACGAATAAAAGAATAGATGCCAAATTTAGTAAAATAGTTACATGAAGAAAATACTAACTTTGTGTTTTTACTCACCTTTTTTAATTTGTTCTCAAATAGAAAGCGTAGCAATTCCTGTTCTTCAGTACAGAGCTTGCTAAGAGGTAGTGACTCGAGTAGTTCTTTTTCTTAAAAATGTTAAGAGAAAACAATGTCCTCACAATACTTATGGGGAAAAAGAGTCATCAATGAAAAATATTCTTCTATAGTTCTTGGTCTAAGTAAATCAAACTCAAAAGAGAAAAATTAAAAAATCAGAATATACCTGAAAACCTAAGACACGGTTTCCAGACCCAAGTGATGAGCACTACCCGGAGGGCTGAGCCATGAAGCCTTTTAGGCGATTCTGGTCACCACCCGATACAAGAGCCACCAGGCCAGTTTCCACCGCAGCAGTGCTGACACTCTGTGTGGCTAATTCTCTGTCATGCTGGGCTCCCACACACCACAGGATGGTCAGCAGGATCCCTGTCCTCTGCCCACTAGATGCCATTAACAACCTCCCAGTCCAATCCCCAATTCATAAAAATCAAGTGTCCCTAGGGCACAAAATCAACCTGAGAACTACTGCACAAGACTAAAATGTGCTTGAACACCATTAATAATACGATATCCCCATTTTCTCGGTTTTTTGCATGTATCACGTTGCATTATTGCTGACATACTAGGTCTAAGGCTCTCAGCCCGAGTTACACCTTAGGGTCATCTGAGAACTTTAAAACATCAGATGCAAGGGCCCCACTGCCAGAGATTCCATGCCACTTCTCTGGAGCTGGGACCTACACACTGACGATTTTAAAGCTCCTTGGGGTTTGAGGTGAAGCCACGTTGGGCATCTCTGAATCAGATACTGAGATCTTGGTTTATACTACCTCAAGTTACTTCTCAAAAAGATGACCTCACCGCATCATAACCCCTAAAGATTCTGTCAGCAAAGGGCCCTGCACAATCCAGCACTGTCCTCTGCAATGTGCTTCAGGTCTGCTGAAACATGCATAGTCTGCTCTTGACTCTACAGATTTCAGAGAAAAAAGTCCAAACAATATTAATTGTGCTAAACGTGAAAACACCTGAGTTTCCAAACCTTCTTGGGCTGTCAACATGTGGTGTGATGTTAAAAGATCAAATGCTTCAAAACAGTAGGCATCCAGCTTCAAAGCCTCTTTGTAGCTATAGGTAGCTAGGGCTCGGTTATCCAGAGCATCATAGATTTTCCCTCGTAAAAGACAAATAGAACTCTTTATCTGTCGGAAAAAAATGAGTCACATACTAAATCAATACTTATAAATTTAAGTTTTTATCAGAATGACCTATTATCTTAAGGCTGAGACTTCTCTTTACCTCTAAAATAATTTGTTCCATCCCAACTGTCAGACAGTATAAATGAACAGAAACAGGAAAGCAAAGGAACACTTCTCGATCTTTCTTAGGCTCTGTTCACTTCAACAATCTTTATAACTGTAGCACCTGTCACTGATACTTGGTTCCTTATCTGTTCTGTCTCCAAGAGGGTACAAATATGAAATCAAACTCAGACAGTTTGATAGGCAGATCGCAATGAAAGGATCTTAGTAAACACGGAAAACTGGCAGCAACAATGCACAGTGGTTAGGGTCATGAACTTGTAGCACTGGACAGACCTGAGATAAAACCCCAGCTCTGATGTTTACTAATGACCCTGGACAAGTTTCCTTTCCTCATCTAACTTACAGGGCCCTGTGGGAACCAGCGCTAGTTCTCTGCAAAGCTACTACATGTAGGTGTTCAAAGAGATACCATCTCACCACTGCCACTAACAAGAGGATGCAGGCGGCAATCCAACTTAGATTCTAGACTCTAAACCTCAAGAAATACGTAACTAAACCTAAAGATGATCCAGAGATGGGCAGCTAAAACTGATAAAGGGATGAAGAAGATTCATCATAAAATCCAAACCTAAAAATAATAGAGGATATGATGAGAGAATCTTACACCAATGCAGTATCTTACGACTTATAAAAATAAATAAATAGATAATTTCATAAAAAATAATAATGTATTACAAATAAATCATGCATTTCTTAGCAGGTGAATTAATGGTAAGCAACCCAAAAATAATAATGGTAATATCAAACTCCCTCACGAAAACGTTTATTAGCAGAAAAATAAATGTGCTTCTTAGCACATAAATAGATATCTCAAGAAGGCTGTTAAAAAAAAATAACAGTCCAGATTAGTAATCTGAGTGTGAATGTCATTTATTATGTTACATTATATAATCTCTGCTAACAAGGAATTTGTGATTTCAGGCAGATATGAAGTATACGAATTGAAATAAACAAAATAACATAAATAGTAACACCAAACCACTCCCTGGAAAGAAGCAAACTATGGTAATCAAGGTTTCCTGGGGGTAGGTATCTAAACACAGTAAGAAGGGGAAAGGTTATTCCATCTGTGGGAGTAATTTAAGGCATCAAATATGAGAAGAAAGATTTCAAGTCAGCCTACTTCAGATTCAAGCACATGAGGATGTAACTATAGCTTCCAACTAATGACTCAGAAATGTCTTGGAGTCTTCTTGCATTTCAGTGGCAAATTAAATAAGGTGGCGACCAAACTGTTTTAACATGGTTATGCTCAAGTAAAAGAAAGTGGTTTATGTTTGGCATGTTGCGTGGGTAATTCTTGCTGATGTTACTGAAGCATGCTTACTGCAGCACTACTTACCGAGGACTGTGACATTTCCCAGTCATTGGAGGGGTCTTTCAAGCCACTTTCATCCTTCAAGTATTTCTCAAATAGCCTTTTGTTGATTGGCTCCTCCATATCGAGAATATCGAGAGCCTGCTGATGCTCTTTCGCAGCGTACTGTGTAAAACCAGAAATACTGTTTGTCATCTACCACTTCGAACACTACATGTACACGCGTATACTGTAGACTTTAAAAAGGTAATAAAATTTACCCGATCATTACTTAGATTTAAAATGTAGAGCTTAAAATTTAAAATTCTAAAGCAGAGTTTTCTTCATGCATGTCAGATTCTGGTAAATGGAGAATCAATATTTTATAGCCCACAATACTAAAGAAGAAAACATTTCCTCATGAACTACTTTACTAATCTCCCAAGCTCCATTCTGTATAACAGCAACATAATTCAACTTTTACCAAGAAAATTAAAATGGAGAGCATACTTACATGGCACCTAGCTGCAAGGTAGCGACATGCTTCATACAGCTAGGAAAGAAATCCATCTATTAATGGGGTTATAGCAGGAAGATATAAACACAGTACTATGTAAGACATAAACTATATAAACTCCGAAAGAACGGCAGAAAAAGTACTAGCTAGTTAAAGAAAACATGTGCAAGGGACAGAAGTGGAGGAGCTGGCCAGCATTCTAGGCACTGAGCATGAATACTCATCACATGTCTATGGAACTGCAAGTAGTCAGCATGACTGGGGTACATGTTACATACATGTTACATGTACTGGTGGTGGTGGTGGTAGGTTTGACACAGTCTGGAGAGAAATCATAAAGGACCTTTGGTGCCTATTAATGCATCTGATTTACCCTGTAGATGACAGGAAATCACTGAGTGATACTGTCAGTGCTATAATTAAGTCTGTGTTTCTGTGTTTTAGGAAGACCACTCTTGTGATAGTTTAAAAGACAGTTAAAGAGTCAGGGAAAATAGAATTGGGAAAGATGTTATTAAAGAAAAGAGATAAGAGGCTAAAACAAAACAGATAAATTAAAGGCCTGACATGTATGAGCAGTAATGAGATGGAAAGGAATATCCATAATTTCAGAGTTATTTACAAAACAGAATTTTCAAAACTGAGTGACTAGATTGGGGGACAAAAGTGACGGAGATTAGAAATAAGAAAATTTCTCTGTATATTCAATAAGAAAAACTGAAGAATCCTTTTAAATAATTTTGACATTAAATCTAATGACACTTTTAAAAATTACTACCTTTTATTTTTTTTAAGTTTATTCATTTTGAGACAGAGAAAGTGCAGAGGAGGGATAGAGAAAGAGGGAGAGAGAGAGTTCTGTTAGCGCAGAGCCCAATGCAGGGCTCCAACTCACAAACCGTGGGATCATTACCCGTGCTGAAACCAAAAGTCAGATGCTTAAACAACTGACCACCCAGGTGCCCCTGATCTAAAAACATTTTTGAAAAGCTTTGGGAGGCTTTAAAGTTCACACAATCACTTACTTTGTCCAGTTTTCGTGACCGAAGTGCATGAGCTGCTCTATGATACTGTGCTGTCAGGTAAAGACACTGAGCCAACCAATAAATGTCCTGGGGTTCCTCTGGAAGGAAAAATCACGTAAACTGTCAGAGGTACAAGGAAAAATAGAAAAGTTTTTAAAATATAGAAATCAGAAAAAAATTACAAGTTGTCACTTACCATGAGAGAGTGAAGCTACTTTATCTGCCCAAAATAAAGCACTTTGATACTGTTGCTGTAATAAAAAAAAAAAATAAGAATAACTGTCCTGTTATTTCAATAGTTTTAAACAGATATCTAATATCATTAGAATGTTATATAATAAGTCAACATTTTAATATAATTTTTTACATGTAGCAAGGGTCTATCGATCACATGTCCATTTTACATTTCAATTAGGTGAGTTTTGGTTCAAAGTGACAAAAACATTATTGTAAGTTCTTTTATACACACAGCTCAAGAAGGTAGGATTTTTTTTAACTTCCACCTTGTAAAAATGTATGAGCAGGTATCTAAAACAGCACATAATTTAAACAATTATTTTGCAGTTATCTCCTCATTAGCAATGGTTCTCAGCCTTTGTACAGTTCTTGAATACAAACTGGGAACTCTGTTACCAGTTAATCTGGGAAAAGGAATGCTTACGGACTGGTTACAAATCTGCCCAATGTAAGTGCCCCTAAGGTAGAGACCGGACCGGTCTCATTCCTGGGTGGCTCAAGGTTCTGTTGGTGGTTTCACACCCCAGGCGGGGCTTTGCGCTGAAAATGAGGGCCTGCTTGGGATTCTGTCTCCCTCTCTCTGCACCGCCCCCCCCCTCCGCTAGCGCTGTCTCTCAAAAAATAAATAAACACTAAAAACAAACAACTTCGCCTTGTGGATAAAGTAATGCTGATGATTCTGGAGACACTTTCCAAACAAGCTGTTGTTCATTCCTGGGCAGTGCAGGAATACAGATAAAATTAACATGAACTTTTTTATTAAAAAAAATTTTTTTAAATGCTTACTTAATTTCGATTGGGACAGAGGGCGAGCCCGAGAGGGGCAGAGAGAGCAAGGGAGACACAGAATCCGAAGCAGGCTCCAGGCTCTGAGCTGTCAGCACGGAGCCCTCCCTATGCAAGACTCCCAACTCTCGTGACCCGAACGAACTCACGAACCGTGAGATCATGGAAGTCCAAGGCTCAACCGAATGAGCCACCCACGGGCCCCAACATAAATTCTTTAAAGTACTGATGTGACACAACAGGTTTATTTGTATCTTTATTCACTTAAATTCTGCCAAATAAGAATTACAACTAAACTTCTCGAAAATTTTCCATTAACTAGCTAAACAGCCACTCTGAAATTCCCCTCCTAAAATAATCCTTCCACTTCCAATGAGCACTAAGTTTGTACTGAGCAACCACTCTGCGCCCAGCAGTTAGGACGCTGCAGAGCCGGACTCAACACGTGCAAGGCTCGCGCTGCGCTTAGGCGGCCTGCGCTCAGGGTTCGGCACCCTCCTAGACGCGGAGAGGGCTGGGGCACTGCGTCCCTCTCTTCCGGGGTTTTCCCCAGAGCAAAAGCACAGGCCCCGCAGGACAGTGCGCCAGCAAGACCAGGACGACAGCTACCCTGAGGACAAGGGCTCGAGCGCGTTTGCCTCAACGAGCCCCGGGGCCTGTGCTCCCCGGGATGGGCCGCCCACCTGATCCAGGTACTGCCGGACACGCTTCCGCAGCCGCTCCAGATTCATGGCGGCGCGGCCGGGGAGTCTGGCAGAACGTGGTCCAACGCCCCGGTGCGTGGCCCCCTTCCCGCTGCCGGCCAGGCCCACCAGAGCCAGCAAAACAGCCGCCAGCACCGGGTCCGGCGCCGCCCGGGACCTTCCGCTCCCTCCTAGACCCCGCCCCGGAAGTCCTTTGCAAAGGCGTTCCCTCCGGCTTCAGAGACTGGGGGCGCGCTGATGGTTCCGAGGCTCTCCCTTGGCCCATGGGTGGCCGGGGTTTCGAGATCATGGACCCCTTTCCCCAGACTGGAGGGCTCTGGTCGCGCAGCCGGTTGTTGGGTCCGGCGCCGTTCGCTCATCAGCTCGTTCTGAGGGGCGGGACGCTCAAGGCCGGCAACCGGGTGGCAGCAGAGGGGCCAGCCTCCCAGATCGCCGCGGGGGTCGCCCCGCTGCCCCGTCACGTTGTCTTGCGGCGGAACCCCTAGGCAGAGGAAGCCGTGACCAAAAACGTAAGAGCCTTAAAATGGCTGGCCAGTTAAAACTGTGAGTCCGTACAGTGGAGTGGGATTCGTCAATGAAAGGGAAGTGCTGACACCTGCTAAGTAAGGGACGCCAGCCCCGAAGGACCACACACCCTGTGATTCCACTGGCGAGGGTTCGCCCACTGACTGAACCCTACTCAGGCTACCCTCAACCCCCCTTTTTTTTAATTTTTAAAAAATGTTTATTCATTTTTTGAGAGACAGAGCATGAGCAGGGAAGGGGCAGAGAGAGAGGGAGACACAGAATCTAAAGCAGGCTCCAGGCTCTGAGCTGTCAGAACAGAGCCCTGTGCAGGGCTCAGACCCACGAACTGCAGATCATGATCTGAGCTGAAGTCAGATGCTTAACCGACTGAGCCACCCAGGCGCTTCTCAACCCCCTTTCAACCAGACCTCACTGTTGGACTTCCATGTTCTGTTCTACATTGTCCCATTTTAACAAGAATTCTCATGTCAGTTTAGCCAGAACCGCCACCCTCCATGTGTGCTCACCCTTGATTTATGACCTAATTCCGCGTCCCCTGCATCCCCCAGTTGGTGTCTGATCACCCTGGCTTGTCTTCAGCAAGAGTCCTGTTACATCGGTTTATCTTCTTAATTTTTACTTCGTTAAGTTTATTTATTTGAGAGGCAGAGTGAGCGGGGGAGGGGCAGAAAGAGAGAAAGAGAGAGAGAATCCCAAGCAGGCTCTTCACTGTCAGCACAGAGCAGGACAGCGGGGCTTGATCTACCTCAGTGACTGACCCTAACAGTGAGATCTTGACGAGCTGAAACCAGGAGTCCAGGGCTGAACCCACCAAGTCACCCAGGCGCTGGGGCATGGCGGGGGGACGGGGGGCGGTTAGACAGAATCTCCACCTTAACTCCGATGTTTCCTCTTAACAATTTTCTATTCAGAGACCCCCAGTGCTCCTTGGCTATAAATTCCCACTTGGAATACACTATGCTGTATTCACAGTTGAGCCCAATCTCCATTCCTCACCACAGATTTCCATCACAGGTCCCTATACCTGTGGTGATAGTTTCCCAGGCTTGAATAAAATCTTCCTTATCATGCTTTGACAAATATCATTTAAATATTTTTTCTTTAACACCATTTATATGAAATGTCCAGACTAGGCCAATCAATGGAGATAGCTGCCTAGTGGTGGTGAGGGGCAGGAATGAGGGATAGGGTGGGGAAGCTGAGAAGTGATCACTAAGGGGCATGGTATTACTTTTGGGGTAATGACAAGAATCTAAAATCGATTGTAGCGATTGCCGCACAATTCTGAATGAACTAAAAGCCATAAAACTGTACATTTTAAATTTCACAATATGTCAAATATAGCTCAATAAAGCTGCAAAAAAAAGTCTTTGACAAGGTGAATGCAAAAATAAACATTATTTGACAAATAATTTTTACTTGACTCAATGCGCATAAGATGGAACTAGCAATTAGTGCACACAGATGAGAACGTTCTGTGCACTACCTCAGAAAGTTACCTCAGAGAACAACCAGGGGTAGCACACAGAACTTTTTCAACCTACCAGAAGGAAACAGGAGTATAAGTAAGTGCAGTGAACAAGTGCAAAGATGCAAGACTCAGGAAGGAGTGGAAGGACCATGAGGGAACAGTCAATTCTATCCAAGAGAAAATTGAGTAACATGTAAGTGATGAGAACAGAGGTGGTATAGGCTGAGACTTCCTCATAACAAAGTTGAAGTTTCTAAATAAAGACAATGCATTCTCAGGGTGCCTGGGTGGCTCAGTCTGTTGAGCATTTGACTCTTGATTTTGGCTAAAATCACAACTTCATGGTTGTGAGATTGAGCCTTGTGTCAGGCTCTCCTCTGAGTGTGGAGTCTGCTTGAGATTCTCTCTCCCTCTCTCTGACCTACTCTCTCTCTCTCCTTCAAAATTCACAAATAAACATTTAAAAATTAATAATAAAGACAAGTCATTCTCATCACCAAAAAATTTTAATGTAGATGGACAAACTGCAAATGAAGTCAAAAGACAAGTAAGAGACAAATTGGAGACCTATTATAAGATGCGAATTTCATTTAGTTATAAAAAGCCAATATTTCCTTTAGATGTAAAGCCACTATAAAAGGACCAATGGCTAAAGATATAAAATGGGCAAATAACTGAAAATACAGTTCACAGTGAAAGAAATACAAATGGATTGTAGACATATGAAAGAAAGCTCAACTTTATTCACAATAAAAATTAAAATTACAGTAGGGTTCCACCTTTTATACATCAGCAAAGATCCAAAACATTGGTGATCCTTTGTTAGCAAGAGTGTGGGGAAATAGGCTCTCTCTTATATTATTTTTGAGGGTGGTATTGGCATATTTCCAGTTGGACTGGCTTCCAAAACCAAATATGTATGTAACTCTGCCCTAATGCTTCCAATTCTGGGAAACATGGAGATACATTTTGCACATATGCAGAATCACTTTCTTTGTAAGATAGCCATTATAGCATTGTCTATCACACCAGAAGTTTAGGGACAATTTAATAACCTGATAGGTAGGAAACTGATTAAGAGAGTCACTGTGTACTCACATAGAGGAATGCCATGCATCTGTTTAAAAGAACAAGGCAGTTTTATGTGTACGGATATGGAAGAATCTCCAACATATATTAAGGGGGGGAAGCAAAGTATAGGAAAGTGTTTCTCATATGCATCCATTTGGATAAAATAGAAAACTAACCAGAGAATAGGTAGGAAGATCCTTAAACTATCCCTGGAAGGACAAATTGGAAAACTGGCCACAGCGCGATGCCTTCTGGCATGAGTACTATGAGACAGGAGGTATGAGAGAGGATTTTCCCTAGGTATCTTTTTGTGCCTTTTGAATTTCAGACTATGTACATGTATTACCTTTTAAAGGTAGATAAATCCTTTATAAATAAGAGGCCTAAAAAAGAAAGAAAATGCAGAGTAACTAATATAAAACTACCCATAAAAAACCCCACTCACTCAAAAATTCTTCTCTTGGGGCACCCGGGTGGATCAGTCGGTTAAGTGTCCGACTTTGGCTCAGGTCATGATATCATGGTTCGTGGGTTCCAGCCCTGCGTCCGGCTTTGTGCTGACTGCCAGCTCAGAGCCTGGAGGCTGTTTCAGATTCTGTATCTCCCTCTCTCTCTGCCCCTTTCCTGCTGACACTGTCTCTCTCTCAGAAATAAATAGCACATTAAAAATTTTTTTTTAAATTCTTCTCTTGGGGCACCTGGGTGGCTCAGTTGGTTGGGCGTCCGACTTCAGCTCAGGTCATGATCTCACAGTTTGTGGGTTCAAGCCCCGTGTCGAGCTCTGTGCTGACAGCTAGCTCAGAGCCTGGAGCCTCTCTTTGGATTCTGTGTGTGTGTCTCTCTCTCTGACCCTCCCCCACTTGCATTCTCTCTCTCTCTCTCTCTCAAAAAAAAATTCTTCTTTTAACGCCTCTGTGAGTAATCTGCCATGTCCTTTTCTATGCATGCACATATACTGGTAACATGTAAGGAAACCAACGATCCTAATTTGCCTAAGATATGAGAATTTCAGTGCCCAAACTAAGAATTTACTATAGTATATAAAATGTGTAACTAGTGGTCATTTTCACTTTGCCATAGGATATAAAAGAATTTTCATGTCCATACCAAACTACAATAAAATATGGAAATGAAAAAAAAAAAAAAAACGATCCTCAGAACCACCTCGCAAGGCCACACCATGGGGAGGCAACAGTGTGCTGTTCAGTGAAGAAGGGGGTTTGGAGTTAGCCTCCCTTGGTTCAGATCTTGGGCAATTTCCTCAACCTCTCTGTGCATCAATTTCCTCATTTGTAAACTGGATGATAACAGTTCACACTTCACATGATTGATGCATGTAAAGACTCAATGAGATAATTTATGTAAGGTGCTTACAATCATGCTGAACATATTGTAATTATAATAAATATGTATATCAGTGTATATTGTATCACGTTACATCACATTGTGTTTTAATGCCATTTATTAGTAGCAGTCTTGCTAGTAAGTCTGAAGGACAGAAACTTGCAGCATGGAAATCTCTCTGAGCCACCTCTCAGGTCTGTCCCCAAACTGGACGGTCTGATCCAGTGCCATTTGAAGTCTGTTCTCCCACTTACCTTTGTGCCTATTAAGCTCTATGTAGCAGCTGAAAAGCAGTGACTAGGTCACCAAACACATTTTTCGGAACCTCAGATAGGCCTGGAGTTTCTCTGTGTAAGACTGGCCAGGTGACTTGTCATACCTGATTTCATGGTTAGAGTCTTTATGGAATATTTTTATTAATATATATATCCTAGTTAAAGTTAAATACTTGAGATGAGTAATTAGCAAAATCACAAATACAGTCTAAAATTTTCTCTCTATCAAACTCATTTTATTTTTTTTTTATTTTTTTAAATTTTTTTTAAATTTTTTTTTTTTTTTTTTTATTTCTCGGAGAGAGAGAGAGACAGCGTGAGCAGGGGAGGGTCAGAGAGAGAGGGAGTCACAGACTGAAACAGGCTCCAGGCTCTGAGCTGGCAGTCAGCACAGAGCCCGAAGTGGGGCTTGAACCCACGAACCGCGAGATCATGACCTAAGCGAAAGTCGGATGCTTAACCGACTAAGCCACCCAAGCG